ACCAGTTTTGCTTCCCCAAAATGGGGATACAAAGTATAGTACCTGGGGTAATAACTTCAAGTACTGATTTGTGCAGACAGCCAAGATTGTTGTCAAAACTAAAAAACTGCTATTTCTCTAGTTGTGGGCCCAAATTAATTATTGGAACAGAGATATTTCAAGACAGTTTGCAGATATAAGCTATTAAATAAAAATACTAATATAGCTTCAAATTGGTCTGAAGCTATTACTTTGATATAAGAATTTTTTTTATTATTGGAATCACCCAAATGTCCACAAAGCTAAAAAAGCATTAGAGATTCCTTTCTAGGTGTTAAATTTTCCCACTCAGGGAGCTTCTGTACACTTTGATTAAATCTCCATTTTTGGAAAATATGTTAGACTTTGTGTTACACTTCCCTTTTCTTTCCCATTACAGGAAGAGATTGCTCACTAACATCTGAGCAGTTCCAGTAGATTTATGAAACTAAGCGTGAGCCTGGTCCTTCCTTCTCAGAATCTGCTGAACACTGGAGCAGGTGGCCAGGCTGCATGTTCCCTGAGAGCTTCCTGTTGTCATTATCCACAAGACATTATTAGCAGGACCAAATTTCTTGCAAAATAATGTTCTGCATTTTAAGCACTTTAGATGTTGGAGTTCCTTCCTTGAAATAATATCTGCAAATTGGGAGTATGGTGGTGTGGGAAGACTACAAGCAAACATAAGTGTAGGAAGGAAAAAGAGATAGGGATTGCCTACCAGCTTCTAGCTTTTGTTTCCTAAACTCTAAAGAATAATGTCCCACTGGGGAGATTACATTAGCTGCTTCAGAAACACAGGTCAATAGAGAAGAATCCCTAGTGTGAGATAAGAGAGGGCCCTGGAGTACAGGGATTAATCATGATAATTAAGCACCAAATACTCTTAAATAAGATGAGAGACAAAGGGGCAATAACTCCTGGCTGTGGAAGACAGCAAAAGCAAAAAGTGAAGAGGGAGAGAGCAAGCCTCTCTCCCTCCCTTATATTATATGCAGGATACCTGCCTTAGGGCACATAGCATTCACACCCTTAATCCCAGCATTGTGCTACAGATCAATCACAAACTGTAGATTAAGCAGCCTCTGAAATGCCCACTCCCCCCATAACCACATGAGGATTTGGGGTGAACAACCAGACACAAACCATAACATTCTGCCCCACATATTTTTTTTTAAGAAAAAGGCATTTCGTCCATCTCTAAGAGTTGCTGAAGTCAACATTTTCAGCTTTGCTGAGAAGTCTAAGTCTCAAGACTTCTCTGAGATTTAAGGCAAACTTTTAGCTGTGGGCCCCTGTACAAATGAAAAGAAACTTAAATACTTCCAACATTTAATGGAGCAAGAGAGACATTTCCATTCCAAAAGTTACAAACAGAGGGATACAAAGGAGTGAGACCAAAGCAAGTCCAAAATCCAGCAGTGCAAACACAAGGTCCTGTAGTTCCATGTGCAGCATCCAAGGCAATCTGTGGCAAGATGTGAGCTCCAAAGTGGTTGGGTGGCTCTGACCCAGTGGCACTTGCAATGGTTGTACCTCCCATGGCTTTACTGTTGGGCCCAGTCTGCTCCCTCCTTGCAGTTTTCCTTAGACAAATTATGTTTCTGGCTTCTCTAAATTTTTGAACTCTCCACTGCACCTTTGGCTTCACTCTCAGGCCTCACAGACCCACCAAAATCTGGGTGAAAGCTTTCCTAACCACCCAACTCTTGTATTTTGCATGTGCCTAAAACCAGCACCATGTGAATAATACCAAGGTCTGCTGCCAGCTGGAGCAGTAGCCAGGTTTCCCTCTCTCTTGTCAGTAGGGGTCGAGTGCCTGGATTGCTGAGCACTCTGAATCCAATTCTGAGGAACAAATTTTCTAGGCAGCTGCCATTCTGGAAAATGGTGCAGCCACTACCATTCTGAAACATGGCATGCTGGGACTTTCTACTCAGAGCAAAGTCTTTCACATTTGTAAATTTGAGGATACAAAGGGTGGAGTCCTGATGCTTCTTCTGATGCCCTCAAGCCATGTTTGCTAGTCTCCAAAACCAACCCTACAGAAACAGAACAGTGGAGCAAAGGTGCTTAGTTCATAGTGGCCAAGAAGTAGAGCCCAGAAACAATGACAGAGAGGAAGGGGCCAGGCATCAGATGTAGACTGCAAAGACATGCCTCCCTGACACACCCAACACACCCAGGAGTGTGCTCTACCCAGCCCCCGGGAGCCTCCCCAGCCAATCAGTTTGACACAATGAAGCTTAAGGGGCATAGGTGCTTATTACTGGAAATCATGAGAGGCCCCTTTTTTGAGTGGGTGGCAGACTTCTCCAGTGCTTTTGCAGCTTTGTGAGAAACCCAGGGCCAGAGGAACCAGGACCTGGATTCCTGACCCACAGAAACAGCAAGATAAAAATGGTGTTTTAAGCTTGTTAAAAGTAAAACAATGAAAGGTAGACCGACCTATTATGTGATCTATAAAAGACATATGCAGGCTGGAGCTCTTTGCAGCATCATGAACAATAGCCAAGGGGTGGAAGGAACTCAGTGTGTAGGGTTAGGTAAACAAAGACAATGCAGCACTTTAGTCAGGCTTACAAAATAAAGAAATGCAGTCTCTGGTACAAAATGGACTGAAGATGGGGACAGCACACTGAGTGAAACATATCAGTCACCCACATAAACACCCAGCAAATATGATGCAATTCCAAGTGTATGGGGCACAGAGCGGTCACAGAACCCCGAGGAACTGAAAGTAGAAGGGTAGTTCAACTTTCACTCGGCACAGATATGGGTGGGTAAAGAGTTACTGGTTTTCCAAGATGAAAAAGTTCTAGATCTGTTACACAGGAAATATGATTATAATAGTACTGAACTGTCCACATAAAGTGGTTAACCTGCTAGATTATATGCACTTTAAGTTGACATTTTTGAAAATTAAAATCAGAAAATAATTTGATTTAAAGAAAATGCAGGCTTTTGCCATCTACCTTTACATAGAAAGCACAGAAGTCACTTTTGTTTCTGGATTAGTGAGTGGTTCTCCACACTGGAGGGAGATTTTGTTCCTCCTCCCATTAGTGGATATTGGCGATGTCTGATGGCAGTTCTGGCTCTCACACCTCTGGTGAGCAAAGGCTGGGAGTCCACTAAGCACCTGACAGTGTGCGGGACGGTTTCCCACACCAACAAGGAGTGACCTACCTGAGAGGCCGCTAGTCAAGCTTTTTGAGGACCCTTCCTGGGTAATCAGTCAGCAAGTGTTATTGTTACACCTGCCTTTCCTTCCTGGGTAGGTAATTGGAGCTCGGACGCTGGAGAGAGCGGACAGTGTGGTGGGGCTGAGCTGAGGAAGCAGAGAGAGAGGCACCTTTTGTGCAAAGATTATTGAAGCCATGAGAAAACAAGAGTAGGAGGGAGAGAGAGAGATACAGAGACAGACACAGAGATAGGCAGAGACAGAGACAGAGATATAAGGAACTTGTTGGTTTCTCCCTGTACCTTGGGGAGGAACAGCAGTGGGTATGAGGAAAATAAAAACAAGAGACAAAAACTGGGGTCAGGTGAAGTAGTCTCTTTACCTCGGAGGGCTAGAGGACTGAACAAAAATAGTAGGGGCATTTATTTATACCCTTGCAAAGTTAGAATCATGAGAGGCAATGTTGCCTAGTGACTAACGACTGAAATTGTCCAGGCAGGATGTTTTTCTCAAGACTGAGGTAGCCTGACAGCTTGAGGCACTCTGGCTCTGTCCTGCCCTCACACACATGGCCAATTTCCAGCTCAAGCCACTCCCAACACAGACAGACTGAGGCTGACCGACCCTGACAGCGAGAATATACAGCTGGGATATGCAGGGAAGGGAAGACCCTGAGTCAACCACTTGGGGCCACTGTGTAGATGCGCTGTCGCATGTGACCCTTGAACTTTTGTAAGATCACTAAACTGATGATAAGAAAAGAGGAAAACAGACAAGAAAGAACGGTTGCTTGGCTGTGCTGATGTAACTGGTTCATTAGAAAATGCTCTCAGAGGGAAAGTGGGTATTCTGTCCCTTCAGGGTCCAAGCTCCCCCTCTGTGAAGCTCAGGCAGAACTGCGGCACACCTCACTGGCTTCTGTGACATGCATGAGTGCCCAGGGTATGACGGGAAATGGCAGCAGGCTTCCCAGGGAAGAGGGAGGGAAAGGGGCAGCCAGAAATTAGGGAAGAGAGGGGGATTTCCCGCCATTTGCCACAAATTTCCAAGCAAATCCAGAATTTCTCTCTGGCCCATCTCTAGGACATAACATGAAGAGAATCTATTTAGTAGTCTCTGTGGGATTCCGGGATTCCATTGGGATTCCATTGGGAATTCAATTGGGATTCCATTGAAGCAATGGCCTTCACACTGAGCTATGTCTCTAGATATCATTATTATTACTGTTGCTAATTATCACTATTATTATTATTTTTTTTAATTTTGAGACAAAATCTCTAAGCTTCAAAGTTACGCAGGCTGGGATTGAACTTGTGATCCTCCTGCCTTGGCCTACGAGAGTACAAAATATTGTTTGTATTCATTATTCCTGTTTCTGGCCATATAATAGCGAGTGTTTCTTAAAAGCTTACAGCCATTATTACGGTTATGAATGTGGTAAAATATATATTATGAGATGCTATTGTTCATCCATTTCAATATTCTTAGAAATGTTATTATTAGTTATATATTAGCAAGTGCTCTGAGAAATAAGATTTTCACAGACATTTTCTCTCATCATTGAGGCAATTCTCTACTGTGGGTATTATTCTCTACTTATTAGATTAAAAGCTGAAGCTTCGAGAACATAGACTTGTCTAGTAAGGCCGATCTCACAGGTGTTGGTGTCGATATGCACATCAGGCTAAGTGAGTTCCACACTCTCCCAACTTTAGCAGTTTCTATGAGCACTTTTTCAGAAGTTGCTAAGCAACTGCGAAAAAGGAAGTCCGGGCATATTTCACAAATCTACAAGCTGTGCTTTCTGCATCCGGTGTAGCTGTGAACAGTAGACTAAGGGCTGGTGGCTTGCAGAAGACAAAAAGAGGGAACCATTGATCGGAACCAGAGAACCCAAACTACAGCCTCCTGGAGATTCTGAGAGCTCAGCGGGACCAACAGGCTGAGCCACAGGCGCAGGTAGGTGATGCCCGAGGCTTTCTCTGCCAGCACCGCGTCCTGACCACGCTGGAGGGATGATTCTGCCTGTAGCTCCTTGAAACCTCTTGGGGCCCTGGAGCCCCTTGGAACTAGAATGTGGAAAGGCCAGCGGCCTCTGCTTCCACCTCTCTTTCCGCGGTTTTCTAACTGCGTGGTCCGGCATCGTCAGTCACCTCGGGCCTCCTGGTGAATGGCAGCGGAGCTGTTGGCCCTAAATGCTCTCAGGCCGCCTGCAAACAGCCCCTGGCTAAGAATGCTGGGGAGGTGGAGGTCGAAACCTGATCACACCTCATGATGGGCAGCGGGTGAGACTCACCCAACGGGGGGCAGTGCGGTGCTTGTAGGTGGGGCCGGGGAGAGGGAGATGCCGCACACTGCATTCTGTGGGTGAGCGCTTGCTTCTGAGATTCGGGGCCTCTGGAGACTCATGCGGTGCCTTCCCAGGGTGCGCGTGTCATCTGCGATCAGTGTCAGCATTATGGGACAATCTCTAGCAACCATGGCTTTGTGGTTTCCTCTGTTCCATACTTCAAGGCTGTGTCCCTAAATGACAGGTCAAGTCTGCACTGCAGAGCAAATAATCTATAGCGGGGGGCCAAGCGTGCAGGCTCAGTGCTCTATAAGAGCTGAATTTTTTTCTCTTCCAGCATCAGCAGCACTAGCACGATGTCACAACCCATAACCAATGACACTGTAGCGGTGCTCACGGCCCATGGCTTCTACTTGCCCCAAACAGAGAAACCTCTCCCGACCAACCCAGTGCAGGAAAGCCTGAAGACGCGGCTGAAGGCAGAGGTCAACGTGTTTGGGGTAAATCCAGTTCAGACCACATAGGCGTGGGATTGAGGGAAGGGAGAGACTGTGGGTCTGGGGACTAGAGAGCCACCCTCAGGGGACAGAGACTTTCTCCTGCCAGGCAGAGTGCAGGCTGCGTACTCTGCCACCTGGCGGAGCTGACTGGAGGGCTGCTCAGTCCAACATGAAGCAAAACAGTGTTTCCCTTATAGTGAATGCCAGTGTCTGAGTCTTTTTTTTACTGAATGCTTTCAGATTCTTGTAGTACAGTTCTCTATGTTTTCCTCTCGGAAACTAATGGTGAAGAAATACATATTTTATATATTGTTTTCTGTGTGTTTTCTATTGCATGTTTCATAGGCATGTTGATTTATTTTTTCAAATGAAAGTAAAACGGATCTTCATTTATTTAATTAATTTTTTTTTTTTTTTTTTGCGGTACCAGAGATCAAACTCACGACCTTGGGCTTGCCAGGCAGGCGCTTATGCCACTGAGCTATATTCCAGCCCAGCATGTCAATTTATTGAGGAGACATTTTCTTTCACTGCAAATCACAGGAAAGGCAAACTTCCTTCTCTTTCACCTCTTTGACAATAGGGATGAGATGTATTTTTAGTTTGTCCCTCTCCTCTCATCTAGTATTCATGAAAAATCTCCATTGGTTGAAGGAAGGCTACAAGAAGGACTCTGTCCATTCCTGGGAAGCAAACACAGAGTCCTGGTCTCCAGGTCTGTTTCTGCTGTTAGCCTCTGGCTCACACTCACACGGGTCCGGTGAGGCTCCTGTGACACATGGTCAGAGAAGTCCTGGATAAATGTCCACAGAGCTGTGAGTCTCTCTCAGGTCAAGGAGTCCAACTTTACCTCCTCAGGCAGAGCCTCAGGATCCCCAAGGCAGTTCCCTGGATGGAAGAGGCAATAGAGCTCCAGAGAGCTGGCTCTAAATTCTGTGTTCACTGTGGCTGGGGAGACACAAGGGAGGACCTCCTACATTGCCAACACTCCAGACAGTGTGAGGGTTTTCAGATGAACCCTCGTCCCACAACAGAGAACAGGAGAATAACCACGGATATAAAGAGCCCAACACTGGCCACAGGTTGGGACCAAGGGTCATAGAGAGCCCAGGACCTGAGGGGCAGAAGTGGCTGGATGCTTCAGAGCACTTGACAGATAGCTGAGGCTCTGGTTTCTTGTGGAGGAGCAGCATCCTCTCCAACATGGAAACTTGCTGTTCTCACCGCACAGTGCTTCAGTTCTGCATCCTCACAGGAACCTCAGAGCAAGAGCTGAGGCCTGAGTGCCGTGAGAGAGGTGAGCAGGCGCTGTCTTTACCCGGGCTGGTGTTAGTCTTCGACCTCTCTTCATCTTCCAACAGGTCATCCAGATCCTGTGTGGTGCGATGGTGTTGAGCTTGGGGATTATTTTGGCAGTTGCTCCGGTTTCCCTCTATTTTACCTCTGGGTTTTCTACACTGATAAAATCTGCGTATCCATTTGTAGGAGCCCTGTGTGTAAGTACAGAATAGCAGGATGGGAGGGGAGGGGTGGGAGAGGAGCACAAGGTCAATACTTTAGACTCTTCACATGCCTGCTGCATTTCAGCTTGCTGGGAGCAGGGATTCCATAGCACGGTGTTCTCTCCTGTGGATGCCAGGAAGAGAAGGTTTGAGTGTGCAGGAAGATAGGCATTGCTTTATTCTGAATCTATTTTTCAAATGAGCATTACTGTTAAAGATCATCTTATTTCTCACCATATCATTTTGAGCTCTGTCAGATCAGTGGTATCATTCCAAGTTTTTTCACAAATTCTCAAAATAGAGTAAAGTCTGGAAAAGTGCTTTTCCATCTAGTACCATAAGCACCAGGGAAAGTCCTCACACACGCAGAGACTGCACAGGTCCTTGTGAGAATGGCGGAGGGTGGAAGACTTCAGTATCTAATCAATGAGAGACACCCAAGGTAAGCTGAGCAACCCTCTGCCCTTTGTTGAGGGCTGGAAACTCCTCAGAAACAGCTACTTGTTTTGGTGTCAGACAGACTTAGTGGTCCTTTTCTCTGATGACAGCTTTCTTGTAGATTCACGTGGGTCAGTCTTTCTTACAAAAGCTTTTCAATTTCATAGAACTTTTTTACTTGCCTCCAACAACTCAGAAACTATCAGTTGCCTTTTCTATATTGTTCTTTTGATTAAAACTGGATGTCAACCTTATAAAAATCTGGTTCACTTTTCTTACTTTATTAATTGTAGTCTTTATTTTATTTGACTTCTCCAGTCCACCCCAGAGGCCTTTCTATAGTCCAGGATCCATTCAAGAACTCTGTACAGTATTTAGTTATTCTGTCTTCTAAGGCTGCTCAAGCCTGCATCTTCTTCATCAAAGTGGATGGCTTTGGGGCAGCACTAGCCAGGATTTCTGTCGACTTCCTAATTTTGAGTTCATGTGACACTCCTCTCCTGTGTAATCAAGATGAAGAATTTTCAGGTGAAGATGACAGATGATGTTACCTCGTCCTCTCGTCACTGCAAAGGTGCAGACTATCCATGTCACATTGCTGGCAAAGTTCACCTGGTTCATTCTCTACTCTTTGCAAGTGAGTCACTAAGCACAGCCCACATTTGAAGAGGCAGCTAATTCTTTTTTTTTTTTTTTTTTTTAACTCTTAGCATTTATTTCTGTAGACAATCTACCTAATCCTGGGACAACCAGAACCAAAGATTTTCTTCCATTTTGCTTTATTTTCAATGGCTATTGAGTTGTGTAGCCTGCCTATATGTATTAGATCATGAAGAACCCTGGTAGGGGAAATAAATTCCTCTGAATTCCTAGACACAATATTAAAGGTTTCCTGTCGTCCAATTTCACTCTACTTTGTTTTTCTTTCATCATTTTACTTTTGCCTGTGGTGCTACTAACTTTAAAGTTTTGCCCTGGTTTTTCCATATCTATTAAATACCCTCACGGTTGGCTTTTTTAAAAACCAATTCAATTCCTTGTCAAACACTGTAAGGAGATTCTGGCCAAAGAAGTGTTTGAAATGAATGTGAAAAATGAAGGAACATTCTGGACAATATTTCAGAACTCCTTGAATGTGCTGTTAGCGTTTAAAGCAGAATCTGCAGGCAACAGTTGGAAGCATTAAAAGCAGTTTGTTCTCAGAGATGTTTGCTTTGGCCACTGTGACCCCTCTGCCCTGATCATGTCCTTGAATTACAAATAAATAACCACAGAGATCTCAACTCACTGCTTTTTCTTTGAATCTGCTTAAGTAGCAGCCCCTCTGGGTCCCCTCCATGACTGAACTGAAGTCTAGTCTCCAAGTAATCTTTCATTCTCTGCGCCAACACGGTCACATGCTGCAATAAAACTCTCCCAAAAAAGAAATAAAAAGAAGGGACATCGTTTCAGATTCCTTTTAGGAGGCAGGCGTTATTCTGATACCAAAGCCAGACAAGGACAGTAGAAGGAAAGAGAACCATGGCATGATACTTCAGGACTGGACTCATGAGTGGTTTAGCTGGGTCAAATTATATTTTTATTTCACTGTTTTGAGGAATCTCCATACAGGTTTCCATAGTGTTTTACATTCCCACCAGCAGTATAGGAAGGTTCCTTGCTCCCACATCTTTTCCAGCATTCATTATTTTGTACTGTTCATGATGGCCATCCTGACCGGGGTTAGATGAAATCTCAGTGTAATTTTAATTTGCGTTTCTGAAATGGCTGGGGATGCTGAACTTATTTTCATATAGTTTTTGGCCATTTGAAATTCTTCTTTTCAAAAGAATGTATTCAGTTCATTTGCTCACCTCTTACTTGTGGGGGGATTTATCTCAAGGATATCAGTATGATTCTATGTATAAATCTCTGAATACGACGCATTGTGTTCGTGACAGGCAGAACAGAAGCCACAGGATAATCACCAGTTCTTCTTTGTTCCGATTATTTACTCATGTTCTTTTACAAAGAACACTGAGATCAAATTATTTTTTTCTCAGTAAAAAAATCCCTGTTTCCTGACCTTTAAGTTCCTCATTTTGCTTACTGGGATGGAGTTCTGCTCCCATCTGCCACTTTGCAGTTTCTCAATATTTGTAGTTGCTTTTCTCATCGCTAAGACAAAATGCCTAATGCCCAAAGTTAGGGAGGAAAGGTTTGTTTGACTCACAGTTTGCAGAGTTTCAGTCCAAGGTCAGCTAGCTCCAAGGCAGGGTGGCATCGCAGATAAGAATTACAGAGAAAAAACTGTTCATGGCAGGCAGAAGGGAGTGAAGCAAGCAAGAGGGACGGACCTTAATAGCATCTTTCAGCCCCTTTTATATTGTATCTAGGCTGCTGGGGCTGCAGCGGTACCAAACCAACCAGGGGGCTGATGTAGTAATCACACACTGTTAATCTCAGCCTCACACACTCCAGATTCAGCCAACTTGGGAAAAGCCCCACCTATTTATGACCACCTGAGGCTTTGGGGGAGTCATCTAGTGACAACCATAACAGTACTGTATGCAAAGGGACAAATTCTCATATTTAAGTGTATCTTCTATCACTCACCATTTGTTCTCCAGCACTTTCCTATGACAGGTTTTCATGAAGACCAGATGGTAACTTTGAAACTTCTCTGTACAAGGTACTGACGTGAAAACATTCTCCTCTTTCCCTACTAGTTTATCATCTCTGGATCTCTCTCCATCGTCGCAGAGAAGAAGTCAGCTAAGCCTCTGGTGAGTTTGGGAACCACCACCCACAGTCGGAGGGATAGAAATGAAACACAGATGTCTTGAGGACATCTGCCCATTGTGAAATGTGGGACACTCAATGCCAGAGCCCCGCATTGTTTGACTTAACAACTTGCTTTGGATCCTCCACCTCCCTGCCCTCGTGACACCCTTCTGCCAACCACAATGGTCTAAATGAAACTCTGTGGCCTGAGCGGGTGGCCAGGAATCTCACACAAAACATTCTGCTACTTATGGGCTGGTTATATTGATAACATTTGTTCACATTTGGCTCCTTAATGGTGAAGAAATTCAACAGTGTGAGAGAAAGCTGAGTTTGCTCTGGGTTCCTTGTACAATCCCATGTGTGAAATCCGTGGGAAACCCCAGGTGAAATGCTGTTCACGTGAGGCATTGGTTTTCATTCATTCATGTCCCTCCAGAAAGCTGCCGGTGTTGTTGATTTGAAGGCAAACTCTTACGCCACAAAGTTGTTATCAGTTATTACCATCAGCTAAGGAATCAACTTTGCCTACTTTTAAGACTTTCCAGGAGAAACCCAAGTTGGAAGTGGCAGGGAGAGGAAAGCTGGATTTAAGGAGAAGAGTTCATAATCTGCAAAGATTTGCCAAGTTCCCACTCAATCCGTGTCCCTCAGGGGGTTCACAGAGATTCTCCTGAGACAATGCCATACACCTGCAATAGCACAGAAACCCAAGTGGAAAATCCAACTATGCAAGACTTTCCCATGCAGCAAGGAAATGCAAGAGAAAGTGTTCCAGGCTCTCGCTCTCTCTCTCTCTCTCTCTCTCTCTCTCTCTCTCTCTCTCTCTCTCTCTCTCATCTGAAATTAGAGGTCATTTTTGAGAACTCACCTGAGACCCCGAGCTCCTAGGTAGAGCATCCAGCAGAACTCTCTGTGAGGACTTCAGTGTGGTGCCTCTGTGCTGTCCGTTATAGTGACCACTGATACATTGACATGTGGCTGGTACAATCATTTTACTACTAATTTAATTGTATTTCAATAAAAGAGGTTCATGTGGCTGGTGACAGCACACCACAAATAATATTTGTAGACTTCTGGAGTCTGGGGGAGTATACAGGACTCCTAGGTCCACTTGCAGGGATCAGGGCTCTCAGGGAGACAGGATGCAGCCTCAGGGTGGGCTGAAGCTCACAAGAGATCTCTACCATAGTGATTTGGACTCTTGTCCCGCATCCTGTCACCTTTTTCAGGCTGCAGATGAGATGTAATTCAGAAGAAGTCCAGAATGGTATATATATACTACAAGTACATGGATATATATTGTGGACATCTCACTTGTCCCCAGCACATAAAGTGTCCGCCATGACCCAGTGGGGCCAAGGTACAGATGCAGCCTGTAACACATGAGCTGTCAGTGAACACGCAGCAGCTGAGCCAGAACACTGATCTCCCCTCTCACCACACTGTCGGGTCTCTGCAGGCCAAGCCTCAGGCGGCCTTACTGTCCATCCAGTCGAAGAGTGTAATAGGGCTGTATTCCTTGCACCATATGGAAAGGCCTGTTAGGAGAAGGACAGGGAAGAAACATGTACTCAGTCACTCAGCACCAGTTTCCTCTCTCGGTTCAGAGATGTTTGCAGGTGCTAAGGCCATGTGCAGGAATAAACTCTTCACCCTGGGCCTCCCAGTGAGGACAGAGAGAGTGAATGTTCGCAGTGCCTTGGGAAGAGGTCTAAGAGGCGGTGGATCCTTGATGGTGGGACCTCACTCTGTGTCTCCCTCCAGGTCCATGGCAGCCTGGCCTGCAGCATCCTGAGCACTGCACTTGCTCTGCTGGGTGTCGCTCTGCTCTCTTACACCATGGCCGCTCTGGATTCTGCCTTTCAGCAGTGTGTGTCGAGCAGCATGTCGAGGCCGACAACTGCGTATCACTTTTACGATCCACAGGACTACAGGCACGGGTGCTCACTTGCCAAAGCCAGTGTCATGGTGCGTGTCTGTACCCAGGTGCTGCCCCGTGATGAGTGCTGGGACAGCCCTGACGTGTCACTGTCCATCCTCTGGACGGTGTCCTGTCGTCTCCTGTGATGTAGTCCAGGGGAAAACACAGGGCTACAGGAACGGAAGGGCGGGGCGAGCACGACAGTATCCAGCTGGGCTGAGGGGTTACACAGGAGCAGGGTGGAGCTGAGAATAAATGGAAAATAAAGATGATTTCTTAATAGTAATAAAAATCAATTTGAGAAGCATAAAATATGAGTCTCTAAACCAGGAGCTTTGGTATGTGGAGTGAGGAATTAAGGAAAGCAAACACTGCAGGAAGACTCAGGTGATCAAGAGAAGCCGCAAGAAAACAGTTCTGTGTGTGTGTGTGTGTGTGTGTGTGTGTGTGTGTGTGTGCGCGGTGAGGGTGAACTCAGTGAGGGGAGTTCTCAGACCTGGAAATGGGGGTCAGAGAGCAGGAAATGTGAGACTTGATCCCAAAGGAACTTGCTAAGGAAGGGGCGGCCCTAAACTGACTACTGTGCTGGGAGGAGCACTCTCCCTTGCTGGGTCTCTGATGGTGGAGTCCCCTCCACCCAGGCGGGAAGCCCTCGGCGACTCAGGCACAGCCAACACCTGCCTTCCTGCTTGCAGGGCACCGTGTCTGTGATGCTGATCTGCACGGCGCTGGAGCTCTGCTCCGCTGTGCTCACGGCTGTGCTGTGGTGGAAACAGGCTCAGTCTGACTTCCCTGGGGTGAGTGATGAGGGGCCACCCTGAGACTGTCCTGGTCACCTAGCATGGCAGGTGGAGCCCTGGCCATGGGTCTCAAGGTGCAGGGGGCGAGGGTTGGGTGGGGATGGAAGACAGGTGGGGGGCTCAGATGGGGATGGAGCAGCTGAGCAGCTGAGCCCCACTGCAGGAGGAGAGAGCTCAACCCGAGAGTCTAGCTGCTTTAGTTCTCCTCCACTGCAAACAGGAGCAGCGGCTCTGGGACATTCGTGTCCTTCCTGGCATCGCTGTGACTTTGTGCTGGTGCTCAGGACCCTGGCTAACTCCCTCCTGAGCAGGAGCAATTCTTCCATAGCAATGACTCCTTTTGTAGAGTGACTTGCTGAGGAGGACTTGCCAAATGAGTGGAATCAGGCTCTGTCTTATGCTCAGCTTGTTCCTCCTTGTGACCTTACAATTCTTTCTTTTTTTCCTTAAAAATTTACTAAAGAATACTGATGGATCAAATTGCATGGGATATTATCCAACCACTACTATAAACGGATGGCTTCATTTAACCCAGTGAAAATGCTTGGATTCATTCAAACTTTTAATCATAGAGAGGAGAATACTAGACTGATGAGCAGCAGTTACTCAGAGAACTTAATGCTGGGCTGCCCTTTTCCTGGAATAGCTGCCACCGTGTGCATAAAGCTGGGGAGTCGGCATCAGACTTACCTGGGTGAAGTCAGTAACCTGACATATTTCCTTCCTTCCAGAGTGTGCTGTTCCAGCCTGAGAGTTACAAGAATAATCCCTACATATTCTCAAAGACACACCAGGACCCTGGATATGAAGAGCTGGTGACTTCTTCATAAAAGACATAGAAATTATTCAGAAGCAAGAGGTCTTTATAGTAATAGAGAAAACGCACTCTCAAAAGAGGGGAAGTCTGAGGTGCCTAAAGTGAGCATTAAAGGTCTTGATGAATGTGCTTGTTCAGTGGTTCTCTCTGATTTGCCTGCGTTGCCCTTAGGAAAAGCAGTGTTGTGAAGATAGCTCTCTGCACAGAGGGGCAGCCCAAGACCCTGCGCAGGGAAACAGCAGATGGTGCTTCAGGGGACCTCAGGGATCCAAAGGAAACAGATTTTTCCTCTCTCCCTTAAGTGCAGCAGGTGTAGACCCATCTATTATGTGACTGTGAGAAGACATTCCTAGACCCCTTTGCTGGGGGGTAATAGATGTTTGTGTCCTTCTTGTGTGTCATAGCTCGGAAAGTGTTTCCAGCTTAAAGGGATCATTTTGCTTATGGTAGGACAATGGGATGATGGAAAATGAAGCACATATTAATTTATGATTGACACTGGCTGGGTGCTCATGTTCAGGAGACACATACACTAGTACAGCAGTCATATAGTGTGAGAGAAAGCAGGGCAGAGAGGGCTGGTGTAGTGAGTGCTAATCAACATGCATTTCTTTCCTCCTGTGAAAGACTTGGTGAGACCTGGGCAAGAGCTGAATAGCCCAACCCAAGAAATGCATGATTTCTATTTTTTTGCAGTTTTGGAGACCTGAAAATGATACTCTGTGCCCTGGTTCATTGATAATTTAGAGAATATAACAGTGAGGAATCAAAAAAATCAACAAATAAGAAGGAGTATTTCTTACAGCTTGTTTGTCTTGGTAGCATTCCGGGTGTAGAAACCACAGACAGTCCGCACGATGTGTATCAGCACAGGCTTACGTGTACTATAATGGGTAAAAACCAGTAGGGTGCTAATAGGGGAAAATTGATAGGAAACATTTGTCTCTCCAGCTTGTATTGAAACACCAGCTCATTGCAGATATGTGCAGACGAAGGTGTGGAGGGTCTAGGACACTACTTGGTAAGTAAGCGACCACCTGTGAGGAAATCAGGACAGCAGATTCTTACTGTCAGGGGACTAGGAGAAAAAGCCCCAGGCCTGGCACTTCCTCAGTGCTGTCACTGGCCACATTCGTTCATCATTGGGGTGCCAGGCAGGTCAGTTCCCATCCTCGCCCTAACACTGCTCTCCGAGTCCACACTGTGCCAGGAGGATTCCAGGGACCAGGAATACAGAGTTCACTCCAGGGGCTGGGACGGTTCCTCGTCATTTCCATCTGCTGCTCTCCTTCACAGAAAGGAGATTCATCTCACAGCATTTTCTTATATTTCTCTTCCTGATTTACTCTAGGAGGGAAGAAAGGACACACACAGGGCAGAGAAAGAGGGAGGAGAACACCCCTGTGATGCCCACTGCATGTACCTTGGTGACAGTGCAGGTCGCCTTCCACCCAAATACAGAGAGAGACAAAGCAATCAGGCTTCCAGAACAAGGGGGAGCAGTGTGCCAACCGAAATCCCTGTAGAAAAACAAGCAAAATAAAAAGGTCACCAAACACCAGGAAGCACTTCCTGCTAGAGAAGACACAGGCGGTGGTAGAAAGGGGGAAAAGTCCTGCAGATCATGGAGCAACTTCCTCTCTCCAGTGAGGCACCCTGTCACTTCCAGGAGACAGATCAGCAACCACAGAAACACGGGCTCCTCTTCAAGGTCACAGTGAGAATTCACAAAGAGCACTGCAGATGGTGAAACTGCTGCTGTCTTTGGGAGAAGAAATACTTTAGTAAAAGTGTACATGGCATAGAGGTTAGCATGTCTTCTAGACGTTCTCCTGCACTGGGCTACGATGTCAGGAACACCGCACAACCTGCTTAGGCCTCGGGCTATGTCTCTGGGGTGCTCAGGTCTCTCTGTTCTCATATGCTTTGAGCATGGAACCAGTCTAGATGTCCACCGACAGAGAGTGGGTGATAAATGTACAGTTATTTAGCCACAAAGAAGAAATATTTCACTAAAGAGAAGTCAGATATTTTATTAGCAGGGACTTGTGGTCGTTTGCTGAAATAGGACTTGAGATGGGCCCAGAAAGATTAAAATCCACAGCATTTGAGGGAACAGTGCACAGTTCCATTCAGAGAGTGAGAGGAACAGCGCACAGTTCTCCCTAGGGACAGCACTGCCATTCCAAGTGCACTGATGCACCAGGTATCCGATGATGATTTATTACTACGTAGTGAAAATGAATTGTAAAACATTGTCATTTTGAGACACTTCAGTACAGTAGGCTTTGCAAATGAGCAGAATTATTGTCTTGATTAAAGTAAGGAAAAACTGGATGAAACAGATCATTTATTTAGGTGAAAACGATGGTAGACGGGGACAGCCCATCTCAGAGCACATATAACCAGGCATGGTGCACATGTTTGTAATCCCAGCGCTAGGAAGTCTGAGGCGGGAGGATCCCCCGAGTTCAAGGCCAGCCTGGACTACACGCAGAGTTCAAGACAAGGCTAAACTGTGTAGTGAGACCCGGTCTCAACAAAACCGGAAACAAAACAAGAATATATGCAGCGGTTCATTTTACATAATCCTACCCAGAGGCCATCAGTATTGGAGCCCAGGATGGGACACTGCCACCCGGTATGTCCACGCAGCAGTTCCACACAAGGAGTGTGTGGCAAACATGCACCAGAACCAAAACAAAACAAAACAGAAACCAGGAATCAAGAGATGGATGAGATGGCTAGAGGGGAAGGAGGGGAGGGCAAGCGTGAGGAAAGGAAGTAAGATGTGCTAGTACGTGCCCCCGTTTCCAACAGAAATGGAAATAGTATGTACTTCACGCACGGGTTGATGAAGAATGAACAAACGTAAGAATGAATGGGGAGAAGCGCTGCTGCGCCAGAGCCGCCGCTCTCAGCTCCAGTCCTCCTCTCCTGCCTGAGTCGGCCTCGCTCTCTGCGCCTGCGCACGGGTGCGGTGCTGTCCGCCACGCAGCGACCTCAGCAGGAATCTCTGGTCTAGAAGACCTGGAACAGTCTTTTCAGTTTTCATTTTTTTAAATTTTATTTTAAAGAGAGTAGTAAATGAGGAACAAACAAAGAAATAGAACAGTAGCAGCATACCAGTGTCACAAACATAAACAAATCAAAGCAAGAGCATTCGAAATGATGCAGAGTCTGAAGACAGAATAATACGAATCGACAGTGACTGTTACGTTACATATCGCTTTTCATATTTACCTGTTTTTGCTGTCACTGAGAGATTCAGGATTCGAAGCCTTCCAACCCTGTTCCATGCTGCAGAACTGTGTGAGCGCCCCCTAGTGTTCACTTTGTGCCTGGGTGTGACACACAGAAGGAGATCAGAGCGAACACAGCATGAGGAGCTGGTATCAGAGAGAGAGACAGCAAACCCGACCCCAGGAAGATCAGAGGACACCAGGGTACTAGGGCCCAGGGCAGCTGCAATTCCACATGCTCACTTTCTTTTCCACAGTGGTCATTAAATTCTGTTCCAGTGGACATGAATTTTCCATGCCTGCTCTGGGTCACGACTGTGATGAGTTCGCCTTCCCACCCACCTAAGCGGTTTGATACATTAGAGAAAGGCAAAGCAGCACAACAGTGGGATGACTCCTCACTGCAGTGAGAACGGATGCCGTCAAGGGCTCAAAACACATCAAATGCTGCTGAGGCGGGGGAGGCGGGGAGTCACACTTCCACACTGTTGGTAACGGTGTGAACTACAACCACAGTGGAAATCAGTAAATCGGTATAGAGATTTTTCAGAAAACGAGTAATTAAAAATAGAAATTTCGTTTGACTCAGCTATACCCCTCCTGGTATCTTCCTGAAAGAGCTGAAGTCGTATATTATGGGGATACAGGCATGCGAACCCAAGCTTACAGCAGAACAACGCACAGTCGGTAAGTAAGGGGTCTGTAAGCCGGTCCACCGAGGAATGGGTTGGAAATGCACGGACACGCCATGGAGACTACTCAGCGAAATGAAGGGTAAGTGTAAGTTATTTGTAAAAAAGAAATGGATTACTACCTAGACCACAGCACTGATGTACAGTCAGTCACAGAATGTTAATATCACATGATTTCCCTAATATGAGAGACCTAAAGTATAAATTGTTAGCAAACTAAAGGAGACATGTTAAGAAACAGCAGGGTAGATTTCCTTTTTCTATTAGTCTTTATGCAAATTATTCCTTAGGAGAAGAACGACATATGCTATACGAATTTATTCCTTTTTAATTTATAGAGAGTTTCCCTATACTAGATCAGACTATGATGTATTTGTGTTAAAATTCTCAAACCTACAATGATTCCTCACTCCAGTTATCCACTCACTAATTCGATGCATTTTCTTGCATACTGTATCATTCATACAAACATCTGCCTTAAAATGGGATTCTTTGTGGAGTGAGTGCTGAGTTATGACAGCCAATACTGTGTCTTCAGATAATACTTCAAGAATACAAAAATCTATTAACATAGAGCATGTTTATGAAAGTAAGGTAAGATTATTTGTGAGACAATTATTCATTCTTTAGTTTCCATGAGCTAAATATTTATTGCCATTTGTTGCCCTGAAGAATTCTCCATGTTATATTTTAAATTGATTTGAATTGAGTATGCTTTTATTTCATTAAACAAATATTATATTCTTGCCAAATTGAATAAGATCATTTTACTCCTTGTAAACCTGGGTATGCATTGTGTCTGTAAAATAAAGAGGAGAAATAATGTGGTCATGAGCATGAACGCAGAGAAAGAGTTGAAATAATGAAGATTTTTTTCATAGTGTATCTATCAGAAATTTAGAATATCCTGAAATTTCTACTGCTGTGGCAAAATGGAGTCCAGGTAAGGAAAGGCACCCGAGCAAGTCAGGGGGCCGTGAACAGCTCTGTTTACATCAGTGGTCCTGGACGGCATAACCTCCACCAAAAGCCAGGCAGCAACCGTCTGTGAGCCAGCGTTTTCATCTGAGGCATGAGCAGGGGTTACAGAGGCGGGACAGGACAGCCCGGCAGTTCCGATTAGCCAGTGGGTGAGAACAGAGGGTACAGGGCTCAGTGAGTGACCATCAGTGACAAGACCAGATTAATGACCACA